CTCCTCCTTCCTCCTTCCGCTTTCCTCCTCCTCCTCCTCCTCCTCCTCCTCCTCCTCCTCCGCCTCAGGACCCCATCTGTGAGCCACCGATGAGGCTCTCCTCCTCCCTTCCTGGGAGCCCCCCGGGGGAGGGACGACGGCGCGCCCGGGACGAGACGGCCCCTCGCGGGGCGCGCGCAGGAGCTGAGCGACTTCTACAAGGCCGCGTACACGCCGCCTCAGATCCAGGAGAGCGACTCCAAAGAACAGGGGCCCTCTGCGCCGACATTGGCGCGTAAACTACCCGCGTAAGGTCGCGCGGAATCGCCCTCGCTTCTTCTACAAGACTTCGTGCACGCCGCCTCTGATCTAGGAGATCAGTACGTACCAGACCACCCCAACCCAACCCGAAGGTTCCAGACCCTCCCAAATTTCGGGTTGGGGGGCGTACGGGTTCCATCGTGTTTCCGCAATGTTCTGGAGGGCCCCCCAACCGTAAGTTGACGATCCCCACGGTGGCTTCGGGTTGGGTTGGGGGGGTTTGGTAGGTCGCCACGAGAGCCACGCAAAACAACGGGGCCCTCTGCGCCGACATTAACGCGAAGGTCGCGCGTGAGCGCCCTCGCTTCAAACGTGGCGCACCGCGCGGGCGGCCTACGTAAGCCACCGCGCAGGATCGCTACGTCATCTCGCGTAAGACCCGTTTTTGATCGTCGCTCAGGAGTACTGGGACAAGAGCTGCAGGCCCGCCGGCAACGCCGGCAAGGACCGCGCCCTCCCTGCGCACGGGGGCGGAGGACGAGGCTCGTTTCGACTCCTCCAGCTCGATGCGGCTCGGCTTCGACGGCTTCTGACTCCGATTCGATTCGACTTCGGATTCCGATTCGGATTCCGATGTCTCCACGGAGGCCTCACTTGCCTTCCGATTTCCGCCGATCCGCTTCATTTGGATCGCCGATCCGACTTTTCGATTAGATTCTGGGCTCTCATGAATCGGCGGCTTGTCCTGGGGGGGGAAGGGGCGGGCTTTCTCAGAAGGCTCGGAAGTCCCCCGGCCTTTTAAGAAGTCTTCGTCCCCGATGACGCAGAAAATGTCTCAGAAGATTGGAGGGCTCCCCACCGCCTTCTGAGAAGGCCTTCTCCTTCTCACTGCCCCCCTCGCTCGCTGCCGAACGAAGGAGGAGAGAGGAAGGAGCGGGGCAGCAGAGGGTGGGGAAGGACGAGCACGCTGGTGGCAAGGAGTGTCGGCCCCAGCACGGGGCGCGCTCTCCCGCGCAAGGCGGATGCCTTGTGTCCAGCAGGCAGCGCCAACAAGCAAGCACGCATTCGCCGGACCGCATGCACAAGCATTCGCGAAGTCTCTCTCTCTCTCTCTCTCGCTCGCGCTCTCTCACTCTCTCTCTCACTCTCTTTCAGACGCGCTCGCGCTCCCACACTCCTCTTCCTCGTTCAATTACTGCATATCCTCCGTGGCCACTCTGAGCTCGAAGTACAGCCGTGTGAGGAAGTGTACACCCCCCCGACATCAAGATCTGTCAGCCCGACCCCACAGAGAGAACCCTGCTCTACTGCTCTCGACTGGTTTGTTTCGACACGTTGAAGATGGTGAAATCATGTGCCAACCGATCTTCCCCGTTACCATGCGGGAGATTGGAGTTCCGGACCAGAAATTACCAACGAGAGCGCGGGACCTTCGCTGCAGACGCGCATGGTGCACCACCAGCCATGGTGCAAGCAAGACCTGCTAATACCCGAAGCAGATCAAACGGAGACGGCGTTGCGCAAGGTGAGAAGCGACTTGACAAACATTCAGGCATCATCGCTGGCTGGTAGACCACTAGCGGGGTGCGCTGAAGGTCGGGTAGACCAACGTGGTCAATATCACGGCCAAGGGGAAAAACGTCGGGATCATGAGGCTTCGGATCAGTAAAAGGGTACTGGCGACCATCGTGGCATTCCGCGCATCGGCGCCACCGCCGACCCAGTGGCCTCTTCAACAGGATGGCCTCGCTGTTCCGCTCCTCTGCTGGCACTGCCGCGGCTGCCCTCCGCCTTGCGGCATGGAGCGCAAGAGCTTCGGCACCGCGCGGCGGGGCCAGGGCGAGCCCGAAGCTGCGGTGCCTCGTGAGCCCCAGGGGGGCGCAGGCTGCGCGGCCCCGCTGGCGGCGCAGCGGGAAGTTCGCCAACGGCGTCCGCTGGCCGAACCAGGCCATCCCTCTGCCATCCACGAGGGGCTGGGGACTGGAGCCAGCTGGGGGTCTGAGGTGGCCCAGCACTGGCTCCGGCGAGCAGGAATGGGGGGCCGGCTTGGGGTGCTGGGTTCGAAAAGGTTTGTCCTTCTGAGACGGCCTCCAGGGGTCTTTTTCGGACCGGAGGGCCGTCAGAACCGGATCTGGGGTGAAACACAACACCAGCTGTACCCTGGGAGGGGTCCGTGGACCGATTTGGAACGGATTTGTGCTCATCCCCGCTCCTGTCTGGTTTCCCTGAGATCCGACGTTGCCAAAAAATAGCAACAGCGCCAAGAAGCACGACTGAAGCCCCGGACCACATCTTTCTGCGTCATTCTTCAAGCCAGATCGATCTGTCAGGGTCCCTGGGCCCGAAATTGAGCGAAACCGACCGTTGTGAAAAAAATGCAACGCCGGGATCTCAGGGTGGGAGGGATCCGGGGACCGATTTTGAGCGGATTTGTGCTCCTCTCCGCTCTTGTCTGGTTTAGGGAGTCCCCAAAGGACGTACGCGCCCAGCCACGTACATGAACACGCCCCCCCAATCCACGAGACTGGCCGCGAAATACGAACGTTCGCGCAACGAATACTCTCGAAACCATCGTGGGTTCGTGTACGTGTGCGTCCTTCTTTCGCTCCCGTCTGGTTTTCTGGGGTCCCAGCCAGTTCAACTCCCCCCCCCGCCGCCTCCAGGCTGTGGTCATACGCCGCTCCTCCTCTTCCTCCCGGGTACAGTCGGACCGAGGCATAAGAGCGTGCCGGAACGCTCTCAGAGCGTTCGGGTCGGAACTAGTGTGGGGGGTGGCGATAGATCGGGGGCAGCGAGGGCGGCAGAAATTGGGGCCCTTTAGGTCCCAAAGGGGAGGCCTTGGGGGCCCGAAAAGGGCATTTTTCTCCCCTCCCCATTCACCGCCCTCCATTTATCCGCGCCCAATCTGGAACGCTCTGAGAAGGCCGCGGCGCCCAAGGCATTTTGCAGAGCCGCCAGATTTCAGAGATTCTCTATGTATCCTCACCCAGCTGTTTTATCCTCGCCCCGGCTTCGTCTTAGCAGGTGAAGAGCGGAGAAGAGACGGCGACGACGGGGACGGCGACGGCGCCGGCGACGGCGAAGGCGACGGCGACGACGACGACGAAAACGACGACGCCCGCCGCCAGGGCGGCGGCCGGGGCCAGGGCAGCCGGGGCGGCGCTGGCCGCGGGAACGCGAAGCCGAAGCCGAAGCCCAAGGCGGCGGGCCGCCCCCGCGGGCCGCCGTGGGCGCGCCCACGGCGTTGGCGTCGTCGGCGTCTGCGCCGTCGGCGTCGTCGTCGTCGTCGTATGCTGTTGAATTCTCACTTCTGAAGAATAATAATTGTTGATCCCCCCCATCGGGTAACATATGTGTTTTTCCCAACCCTCCTTGGTTGGGTATTCGTTTTGAATAGAGCACTGTGGTCGCGTCCCTCCTTCTCCTCCCGCCTCCCGCCTCCTCTCGCCTCTGCCCTCTCTTCGCCGTCGCTGGGGGGCTGCGATCTGCGAATCTCTCGCCACTTTCGAGGGCTGCTGGTGGGTCCAGCGGAGTGAGGCACCGCGCGGATCAGAGCAGGACCTCGCCGTCCCTGGGGGGCTGCGATCTGCGACATTGTCGCCACATTCGAGGGCTGCTGGTGGGTCCAGCGGAGTGGGGCACCGCGCGGATCAGAGCGGGACCTCGGCGTCCCTGGGGGGCTGCGATTTGCGAAATTGTCGCCACTTTCGAGGGCTGCTGGTGGGTCCAGCGGAGTGACTCCTCCTCCTCCTCCGCCCGCCGTCGTCGTTTCCTTTTGCCCTCACCTTCGCTGCACCTCTCGCCTCTCCTCGCCCCCCCATCGCGCCTTCGATATGGTCGGACCGAGGTATAAGATCGAGGTCGATTCGGGGACGGTGCTCTAGATACCTAGATGTTCGTCGCGCGTTGTTGGATGCTCTTGTGCATGCTGGGGAGGATGCCCTTGGATGGTCTGTTTGTTTTGGCCGGCGGAGGGTCTCATGTTCTTGAAGGATGTTATTTTTGCCTAGGCCCGATAAAATGCCTGGAGGGGAAGCGACACACAGACACAATCAATCGTCGATCACAAGGAAGCCATTGGAACATATTGGAAGTGGGGGGACAACGAAAACCCATATAATATTCGGAGCTGTAGGGAATCCTGGAACGTGTGTATTCACATGTATATAGCTATATAGAATAGATGTGTGTGTCCTTGGGCCCCTTTCCAAGACGTCCTCCTCCTCCTCCTCCTCCTTCTACTCCGTTTCTCCTTGTGCTCTCACCTTCGCTGCACCATCTTCGCGCACGGCGCGCCACAAGGCCACACCGTGAGACGGCGCCGAATGGCGGCAGCGGTGACCAGCCGGATGGGTAGATGGGGGAGCGTAGAGGCTGTTGAGCTCCCCCTCACCCGCCGCCTTCTCCATTCCTCCCGCATCCTCCTCCCTCTTGCTCTCATTGTCTTCGTACCCTCTCTCGTCTCTCGTTGTTCTGTTTGTGCTTCAGTCCTGTTGCTCCTCCGCCCTCTCCTCCCCCTCGTACTCCTCCTCTTCCTGCGCCTCCCCCTCCTCTCGCTCATATTTCTGGTTGTGCCATTGTAGTGCTCACGGGATTTGCCGCGCGAGCTGACCCATGCATTCCCTTCTCTCTCCTTCGCCGTCGCCCCTGAATTTCCTGCCTCTTGCAGCTTGCCCGCCCTCTGTGCCGGCGGTCCTAGATGGGATCCTCAGGACGAGGGGCTTTAAACATTGTGAACACAACCTGGGATCCTTTCTTATCCTTAAGGCCCCATTCCTCAGGGCCCCGTCTTTGAACCGCCGACTTTGTGAATGCCATTGCGTGGGCTTCCTTTTGAAGGTTTGAAGCCAAGGAGCCGTGCGCATAGTTACTGGCCCAATTACTGGCTGCATTCTTCTTCCGTCTTCTGTGGGTGCCCGCCCTCTCCCTCCCTCCTCCCTCCCCTCCCGTTCCACTCCTCCTCCCCCTCCTCCTCTTCCTCCTCCGCCTCCTCCTCCTCCTCCTCCTCCTCCTGGGAGCGCATCCACTCACCCAGTCGTGCCCAGTGGATCTCCTCCTTCCGGAAACTCGGGAGGAACCACTTTCTCACGCGCGTTGTTATGGTGTCGGTGACAAAAGACGTGAAAAGTCGTTCCTGGATGCTGAATGGCCCTGCGCAACATACCGTGCGTCCTCGGCGACGCTGGCGGGTACGCGCGTTGCCAGAGTCACCGCGGACGTGGGTTGGGGCATGGCAGACAGGCACACGCATGCAGCGGTGCACGACTTGCGTACTTGGCTGCCCGGGCAAAGGAAGTGACAACGTCACGCACTACATCAGGGAGTGCATACACATGCGACGGATGGCCGAGCGAGTTCTGCAGGCACCGCTGTCGGGCTCCGTGCGGCGACGGCTGGGGCTGCTGAACGGGGACGCCCAACAGCCACGGCATCTTGCATTCGCGGTCGCCCTCTTCACATGCTACCGGTTGGTTCTGCAGGAACTACGCCGTCGGGAGGGGGACGTTCCCTCCAGAGGCGAGGCCGCGCTCATCGTGGAGCCGGTGCGGTGGGCCCTCCGATTGCCTGGCGGCGCGCTGGCCAGGCGCCGTGAGCTCTTGGGGCCCCGCGCGCTACGGGGCGCGGTGTCCTCCTCCTCCTCCTCCTCCTCCTCCTCCTCCTCCTCCTCCTCCTCCCTCCCTCCTCCTCCTCCTCCTCCTCCTCCTCCTCCTCCTCCTCCTCTTCTGAGTCTGATGCGCCAGGATAGCCGCGCGTAGGCGCGAGCTGGCTGGCGGCAGGCACGGCGGCCTCTCGGGACCCTCTCTCCCCCTTCTTCGGGGAGCCCTGAATCTCCTTCTCCTCCTAATCCTCTTACTTGTTCTTGTTATCCTCCTCTTACTCATTCTCGTTCTCCTCCTCATCCTCCTACTCGTTATTGTTATCCTCCTCCTCTGCCTTCTCTTTTTCCTCCGCAATACACAGTTGGAATACTACTCTCATCTCTTCCCTGATTTCGTTCGGAGGATACGGGGCCCTCTCCTCGTTGTATCTCTCACGCGCAGGATTTCAAAAGATATTGCTCCTTCTGTTTTTTACCATCCGATTGTTTTCGGTGCTTCAAAACGGTGCTCCCGCTGCAGTATGGGCCTTATTTTCGGATCGGCGCTTTGCTCCCGTCGTTCGGAACCGCGCTCTCGCTTCAGCGCGGGCCACGTTTCTGGATCCGAGTCTTTCTTCATCGTTTTTGCCCCCATCATTTCCCCTCCGCATTCCCCTGGTCCCCCTGTTCCTCCCGCTCCTTCCACTCCAGTTCCTGCTGCTGCTGTTGTTCGTCCTCGTCCTTTCCCTCTTGTTCATCCTCCTACTCACCCGCCACCTTCTCCTTCTGTGCAAGCAGCTCCCCTTTCCCGATTGCGCATGGCACAATGTGGTCTGTTTGTTGGAGCTGCACATCGACTATGACACGCGTCCGCGAATAAAGAAAGATCAGCGCAATGGGAAGGAAGGGGATGAATGGGATAAGATTGCAGATGAGGCGCGAGCGCACCTAGCTTGTCCTCTTCCCGTTTATCATCCTCCCACTGCTCCCCGTGGCTTCCCTCTTCCCATCCCCTCCATCACTCCCCCCCTCCTGTCTCTCCCTCATCTTCCGTATCCTCCTCCTCCTCCTCCTCCTCCTCCTCCTCCTCCTCCACCTCTCCTCTCCTCCTCCTCCTCCTCCTCCTCCTCCCCTCCTCCTCCTCCTCCTCCTCCTCCTCCTCCTCCTCCTCCTCCTCCTCCTCCTCCTCCTCCTCTCCTCCTACCCTCCTCCTCCTCCTCCTCATCCTCCTCCTCTTTGTCATCCTCCTACTGCTCCCTGTGGCTTCTCTCTTCCCATCCCCTCCATCACTCCCCCCCTCTCCTCCACCTCCTCCTCCTCCTCCTCCTCCCTCCTCCTCCTCATCCTCCTCATCCTCTTCCTCCTCGTCCTCGTCCTCACCCCCCTCCCTCACTGATCTCCTCCTCCTCCTCCTGCTCCTCCTTCTCCAATCCTTCCATCACTCCCACACCCTTCCCTCCCTCTATTCCCTCCCTCCTGCGCTGACCGCACGGCTGGCCTGCTCGGCCGCCGCCGTTCGCGCAAAGCGCGCCGCGTGAGCGACTGGGCAGAAGCGGGCGCCCTCCCAGAGGAGCATCTTGCCTGCCTTGCGTTGCATGCCGAGCTCTTGGCGGCGGGCAGAGGGAGGCGATCGTCGCGGGGGATGCTTCGAACGTTTCTTTGACTAAATCTGGGGACTTATAGCAGCTGCAGAGCTTCGAGTATACCAAGCGGTCGGGCGTGATGGCAGCTTGTTGTCTATAGTGTCGAGGGCCCTGAGCTCGGCCCATTACTCCAGCCATATTCGAACACCTAGTTTCGTGTTGCAAGTGATCTGCGGCCCCAGCACCGTCGCGTCGTGAGCAAACATGCAACTGCAAGTGGTCGACCCTCTGTCGGCCTCTGGTGGTCCTGTGCGGCACTTGGCACCGTAAACACACCACAGGATGAGACGTTGGCTTCGAGAAATGAGTCGGGACTTCGGGGGGGGGGGGGGGCGTGTGGAAGCATCCTGGCGTCGGATGTCTTGGGGCTCGTTCCTTGAGGCATCACAGAGGGGGTCGAAGTAGGATCGCGCCGCATCGCCGATTCATCGTCGATGCGGCTCGATGTGGAGTCCGAGCTTTTCCCGTGCTGGCTTCGCATATGCATCGGCGATGCGGCGTCCCCCCCCGACCCCATCTAGGAGGACTCGTGCTCGCCTCCCCCCTCCAGCCGATGCAAGGCCCCAGCACAAGACCCGCTCTCAGACGTCCACGCATATGATTGTTCCCAACTCTCCTTCGTTGGGTTCTCGTTTTGAATGGAGCACTGTGGTCGAGCCTCCTGCCTTTCCTCCTTCCTCCTCCGCCCTCTTGCCTCCCACTGTTTGCCTCCCTTCTCTCCTTCGTCCTGCTTGCGTCCCTGGAGTGCTGCGAAGTACACATCTGTCGCCACGTTCGTGGGGCTCCTGGGAGGTCCAGCGGAGTGGAGTGGTACGCGGACCCAGTTGGGGCCTCGCGGCGCCCTGCGTGGCTGCGAATTGCGCAACTGTTCCCGCTTTCGCAGTCTCCTGACAGGTCCAGCGGAGTGGAGAGGTACGCGGACCCAGTGGGGACCTCGCGGCGCCCTGCGTGGCTGCGAGGTGCGCAATTGGAGCCGCTTTCGTGGGCTCAAGGGAGGTCAAGCGGAGTAGAGTGGTACGCGGACCCAGTTGGAACCTCGCGGCTCCCTGCGGGGACGCGAAGTGCGCAGTTGTCGCCGCTGTCGTGGGTTCCTGGAAGGTCCAACGGAGTGGAGTTGTACGGGAGCAAGTTGGGACCTCGCGGCGCTGTCCCGTCATGCAGCACTCGGCGGTGTCGCATCGCATCTCGCAGGGAGCCGCTGCGCCACGCAGTGCATAGCGCTGTTAGCGTTGCCCCCGTAGCCTCCCATTCACAGCTGCCTCTGATCCGCCATGCCACCCCGCGCGCTTACCTCGCTCAGCGCGACGCGCTGTTCTGCTTCATAGCGAGCGCATGGCGCTGTTCTTATCCGCATATATAGCGCTCGGCGCGAATGTTTTTATTGGACATGCATGTCGCTCCTTACACCCTTTTGTATTATTTTCATATCCGTCTCTATAGTGTTTCTTCATGCATGCTTTATTTCGTACTTCTGGGAGATCATGCGCGCTGCGGGCCCTTCACATGTTTGTTTGCAGTGAGCGGCCCTCTCTCGATGTGTATATATAATCCCTTGCCATATGTTTAGATTACCCCCGTGCGACCCTACCTAGAAGTTGGAGCCCCTAGGAAAGCAACATGAGTTGCTATGCTATGCTATGCCATGCTATGCTGCGCTATGCTGTGCCATGCTATGCTATGCGATGCTGCGCTATGCTATGCTATGCGGTGCTAAGCTATGCTATGTTGGCTATGGTTTGCCTGTGCTTTGCTTTTGCGTTTGCTTTGCTTTGCTTTGCGTTGGTTGTGCTTTGCTTTGCTGTCGCTGCTGTTGTTTTGCCTTTGTTTTGCTGCTCTGTTATGCTATGCTGCGCTGCGCTGTGCTGTGCTGTGCTGCGCTATGCTATGCTATTCTACGCTATGCTGCGTTGTGCTATGCTAGGCTGGGCTATGCTATGAAATGCTGTGCTGCGCTATGCCATGCTACGCTATGCCATGCTATGGTGTGCTCTGTTATGCTAAAGCTCAGCGAAGCTAAGATGAAGGTAAGCTAAGCTAAGGTACACCTGAACTAAGATGAAGCTAAGCTAAGCTAAGATGAAATAAGCTAAGCTAAGATGAGATAAGCAACGCTAAGCTAAGGGGACGTAACTGGGGGAACCGCGGGGCGCATACTGGGGGAACCGCCTGGGGCGGTGTGCACTGCCTGGCCCCTTTAAGAAAGAGAGTCAGAACCCTTCTAGGCAGAGCCTAGGGTTGGGTACGCCACTGGGTAATTTCAATCCGCGGCCCCAGAAGTCCCGACTCCTACCCTGGGGGTGTTTTGTCGTCCCGGGCCCATTTTTGATGGTCCCTGGGCCCGATGACAGGCCTGGAGGCCGAACACAATGAAAAAACGCCGGGTTGAAAAAATCGTATGGTCGGATCTCTGGGCTCTCGGCTTGGTGCCCACCAGTGCCGGGCGTGTCGGCCAGGGGCCCCGTGGCCCACCGGACGAGGGTGGAGTGCCGACAGCGCTCATTATCGCATCCTGGCTCGAAATGCGACACTCTGGCGTTCTGGCTCGATTTGGTCCAGAGATGAGGCTCACTTCGCTGCCGTGGCTCGGTTTCAGTTCTGCCAGGTCCACTGGCTCGATTTCTTTTCACCGGAATCTCCACACGGGGGGCCAGGGGGAGGCGTCTCACCGGGAGGTATCTACGTTATTGTCTCGAGCTGGAACCACGCGTTTTCACGTGTCCGGGCCACCCATGGGGATATCCTGAGTGTTTTACGTATGTTCCTACGGTTTGCCTTTATCCAGGAGGGGGGGGGGGGGGAGGCGTCTCCCAGGCCTGGCGGCTGCCGGTAGCATGTGTTTTACGCATGCTCCTCTCTCTCTATATATATATGTATATAGAGAGAGAGAGAGAGATTGCCCCTTTCCTGGGGCTCGAATTCTATGTGTTTAAAATATGTGCCTATACATTGCGCCTTTCCTGGGGCTCGAGCCCTATGTGTTTTATATGTGTTCCTATAGATTCCCATGCCCTGGGGCTCTAATCATCTGTGTGTTTACGTAGGGTCCCATAGACTACCCCTTTCCTGGGGCTCGACTTCTATTGTAATGGCCTCCGGCCAGTGCCGCCGATCCGGGGCGCCCCCGATGCGTGTGGGGACGGACGATGACGACGACGACGACCGACGACCGGGTCAACGATGGACGATGATGACGACGACGTCCTTCCTCCCCCCGCTGCCCTCCCCGGTTTCTTGGACCCCGCCCCCCCGCTTGAGCTCGACCCCTCCCTCCGTCCCCGCTCGAGCTTCCTCCTTGGACATCCCCCTCCCGCTTGAGCTCGACCCCCTCCCCCCCTGTCCTCGCTCGAGCTCCCCCCCCCCTCGATTCTTGGACCTCCCCCCCTCCGCGCTGACCCCCCCCCCGGCCCCCCCCCGCTTGAGCTCGACCCCCCCCCACTCTCGATTCCTGGGACCCCCCCTCCCCCCGCGCTGACCCCCTCCCCGCTTGAGCTCGACCCCCCCCTCCGTTCGACCCCCCCCCGTCCTCGCTCGAGCTCCCCCCACCCCTCGATTCTTGGCCGCCCCCCCCTGCGCTGACCCCCCCCCGCTTGAGCTCGACCCCCCCCTCCGTTCGACCCCCCTCCCCCCGTCCTCGCTCGAGCTCCCCCCCTCCCCCCTCGATTCTTGCCCCCCCCCCCCCTAACCCCCCCCCCTTGAGCTCGACCCCCCCCTCCGTTCGACCCCACCCCCCGTCCTCGCTCGAGCTCCCCCCCCCCCTCCTCGATTCCTGGACCCCCCACCCCCCCTGCGCTGACCCCCCCCCCCGCTTGAGCTCGACCCCCCCCCTCCGTCCCCGCTCGAGCTTCCTTCTGCGACCCCCCCCCCCCGCTTGAGCTCGACCCCCCCCCGTCCTCGCTCGAGCTCCCCCCCCCCTCGATTCTTGGACCCCCCCTCCCCCGCGCTGACCCCCCCCCCCGCTTGAGCTCGACCCCCCCCTCCGTCCTCGCTCGAGCTTCCTCCTGCGACCCCCCCCCCCCCGCTTGAGCTCGACCCCCCCCCCGTCCTCGCTCGAGCTCCCCCCCCCCCGTCGATTCTTGGACCCCCCCCCCCCCCGCGCTGGAGCGTTCACTGAATTACGTGGATAATTCGCCGGATCCCCCCCCCTCCCTCCCAGAGCGAAGCTCGAGCGAGCTCAAGCCCACGCTCTCAGAAACTCACACGCCGGATCGGCGGATTTGCTTTGTGTCCCTAGAGCCTAGAGATTGCCCTTCTCCTGTGGCTCGAATCCGATATGTTTTAGCGATGTGCCTATGGCGATTGCCCCTCTCCTGTGGCTCGGTTCCTGTGTGTTTTAAGCGTGTGCCAATGGACTGCCCGTCTCCTGCGGCTCGAAACCTGTGTGTTTCGCGTATGTGCCTATAGATTGCACCCGTCCTGTGGCTCGATTATGGTGATTTCCTGGGGCTCGAACACAGTGTGTTTTACAGATGTTCCTATATATATATATATATATATATATGTATATATATACATACATACATACATACATACATACATACAGATATTCCGCTGCCCTGGGGCTCGAATCTTATGTGCTTTACGTACGCTCCTATTGATTACCCCTTGTCCTGGGGCTCGGGCTCGAATCCCATGTGCTTCATTTTTGTTCCTATGGGTTGCCCTTCTCCTGTGGCTCGAACCCGATGTGTTTTACGTATGTGCTGATCTATTGCCTCTCTCCTGTGGCTTGAATCCGATGTGTTTTACGCATGAGCCTATGGATTGCCCCTCTCCTGTGGCTCGATTCCGATGTTTTAGAGGCATGTGCCAATGGATTGCCCTTCTCAGCTGGCTCGAATCGGATGTGTGTTTACGTATGTGCCTTTGTATTGCCCTTTTCCTGTAGCTCGATTATGTTGTGTTTTTACGCGTGCGCCAATCGATTGCCCCTGTCCCATTGCTCGAAGCCTGTGTGTTACATATGTTCCTGTAGATTGCCCTTTTCCTGTGGCTCTCCGCGCCCACTGCCAGGACTCCCCAGCACAGGCTGGCCGCTCCGGCCACTTATCGTGAAACTCTGTCCACTGTGATTCTCTTGTTTCGGTCAATTTGTACGCCCTGCGTTCCCTGCTAGAGCACGCGAGCGGATCGCCTCGGCCGCGCTTAGACGTAAAAAGTGGCTCGAACCCTACGTGTTTTACGTATGTGCTAATATGATTGACCTTCTCCTGTGGCTCGAATCTGATGTGTTTTATGTCTGTGCCTATGGATTGCCCCTCTCCTGTAGCTCGAAGCCTCCTGTGGCTCGAAGCCTGTGTGTTCTACGCGTGTCCGTCCCTATTGAGTGCCCTTGTGCTGTGGCTCTGTCTCCCCAGATATGCCCATGCCTCCCAACGGAACGTCGGAAGTCTATTTTTATCCGGTATCGAGTCGTGGACTTTTTGGCCTCCATGCGCCCGCCTCCCGAGGCCTCACACTCCTCCCCCTGTGGTTCTAACTCTGCGTGTTTCGCGTATGTGCCTATGGATTGGCCCTCTCCTGTGGTTCGAACCCTATGTGTTGTACGCATGTGCCTATATATTTCTGACCCCCTCCGGCTCGAATCCGGTGTGCCTTACATATGTGCCTATATCTATATGTATACGTATGGGTTGCCCCTCTCCTGTGGCTCGATTCTGGTGTGCTTTACGCGTGTGCCTATGGATTGCTCCCCCCTGTGGTTCGAAACCTATGTGGTTTATGCATGTGCCTATGGATTGACCTGTCTGCTGTGACTCGAATCCTATGCGTTTTACGTGTGTGGCTATGTATTGCCCCGCTCTTGTGGTTCGAACCATGTGTGGTTTTGTATGTGCCTATAGATTAGCCCTTTCCTGCGGCTCGCATCTTTTGTGTTTTACGTGTATGCCTACATATTGCCTCTCGCTTGTGACTCGAATCCTATATATATATATATATATTTCACGTGTGCCTATAGATGGCCCCTCGCTTGTGCCTCGAACTCGATGCGTTTTACGTATGTGCCTGGAGATTGCCCCCTCGCTTGTGGATCGAATCCTAGTTTCACATATATATATATATTATCAATGGAGTGCCCTTGGCTCGAATCTGGTGAACTTCACGTATGTGTCTATGGATTGTCTTTCTCCTGTGACTCGAATCCTATATGTCTGACGTCTGTTCTGCTAGATTGCCCCTTTCCAGTGGCTCGAATCCGCTGTCGCTTTTGTGTTTGATTATATATTGCCCCTCTCCTGGAGTGTTCTGGCTCATCTTTCTAGCTGTCCTATGTCCAGAGAGTGTGGCAGGGCCTTAGGCTTCTCACCATTCTAGCTCCTAGGAGTGGGGTCGCTCGGTCCCGAATGCTGTGCCAAGCGCGTTCGTATCACCATGTCAAGCTCACGAACGTCACCCTCATGAGCAATTTCAACCCCGTAATCGTCTCGACAGTATGACGAGGTCGTCCTCACAAGACGACGTTTCAGTGTTGCATCCGCCTTCACACCTTAGCTGCTATCTGGGTGCTTTGCTGAGGTGATGTGTGCCCTAACGGGGCCCTGAAGGGTCACGAAAGGTGCACGTTTCCCCCCCCCCTCCCCCCCTTTTATCGCCCCCCCTTGAGCAACGGCCTCCTCCACTTCCGCCTCTTCATTATCATGTTGTTGCTGACCTCTGGGGCCCCCCCTCAATCGCCGCGGTGGGACGCAGCTCGAGGGACTTCACGGTGGGAGTGAGGGGTGCGGGCTTCAGAAAAGGCGGGAGTCGTGCTAGAAAGATCGGAGCCGTCTAAGAAGCCGTCTTCGACGGCAGGGGCGTGCCTAAGAAACCCCTTGCCATCTGAGGCGGCCATTTCGCCTGCTCGCCGCGAAGAGATTGCGTGCTAGTTGTTTCAGCATTCGTTATTGTGCCGCTGGGGGCACGGCGGCTGCTGTTCAGTAGAGGCTTGTGTGTAATTGTGGGTTGGAGGTGCCAGGCATGGCACGAGCGCGCCACCGTTCTGAAGACAGTTTCTCTCGAGAGCTTGCACGCCTGTGCATGAGCAGATTGTGCGCAGAACCGCAGATGGTGCGGACAAAGCCTGAAGCATTCGTGCCTGTGGACTGGGAGTTGTGAGAGTTATGTCTTAAAGTTGTGTTCGCCACCCAGGTTGATAACCTTTGATGGGCCAGCAGTAGCAAGCGCGTTGCAGATGGTAGTAGAATGCCAGATCGTGAACGGGTGCGCGGGCTTGTGCGGGCGCGAGGGGCATAAAGGGAGAGGCCGAGGTGGAACAGAGAGGGGAAGGGAACTCGAGCAGCCCTCGTGGTTCGTTGCGGCCCCTTGCTCTGATGTGTGGTGTTGCTACCGACTTCGTGGTCAGTATCGTTTTCAGTGTTCTGAAACGTTCAGGGCGTTAATGTCGTTGGCAGGTGTAGCAACAGAACGAGGGTGAAAGGGACAGAGATCGTCGTTGGCCGAATATACGTGCGCGTGCGGAATGGAGAGGGAACTGGTCTGGTAAGGGAACGCACACACTCTGCCAAGCGTGTTATGACACGCCTAAGGAATACCCGAGGCTAT